CTTCAGCGGTTCTATGGACATGAGGATTAAATCCTGTTCTAAACTTCAGACTCAAAGACCTAGAGGGATCTCTGCTGTCTGTCTCCTGCCTCTGCAGCCACAGCTATACAACTCCAAGGCACAGATGGGCCTGCTTTTCTGGATCATACTCTGAAAATCGCTGTTCAGAAAAATGTGTTAGGTGTCAGTATTGCTGTCAGAGTTACAGTCCTAATAAGGCCATGGGGATACAAAAGGAGCCCAATGAGCCATGTCTTCCCTAGAAACACCAACAGCATCAGTAGTAGCAATGAGAGCAGCTGACTTTTCTGGGCATAACTATGTGTCAGACACTGAGCTAAGCTCTTTACATACATTCTCATAATTGACCTTCCAAGGCCTCTAAGATAGGGATGCCATCATTTGATGCCGTAAAATGGGGATTCTCATTTTACTGATGAGGAGCTAAGACACAGAGTGGTTAAGTAACTCACTCAAAGTCACACAGCTAGTGAGTGGTAAGATTCAAACCCAGTCCCAGACCCCTGCTGTCAACCAGTGGCCACCTAGGGACATCACAAGTACCATACTCCCTTCTCTTAATTTGGTGTCCTGAGCTATCACCCTAATGAAGCCACATTAGACTTGAGCGGGTATAAATTCTGGACACAGTGAATCTCATTTCCTGGGGCATTCTTTTTCCTCCAAATGAATGAATGGGAACGAATACTAAAGATGAAGAGAGGTCCCAGACGGGCCTACCATTCATCTGACTAAGGAGATAAAACAATTTCCCCACATCCCAACCCAGCAAAATGATGATGGGCATCTCTGACCCAATGACTATTTCAGAAAATTCTGGGAACACCCCCGCCCAAACTGCAGCTCGACAAAATGTGGGAACCAGAAAAGGGGGGGTAGGAAGATAGTTCACCCTATCCTGCCTCCCAGAGAGGGAAAAAGCATGCCTCCCCAGGAAGCTGGCCTGTGACAGTGGCCTGTGGACAGATCAGGGCAGGACTGAAGGAGGGACTGCTTCCTCTGCTGGGAAGAAGCAATGAGAGTGAGCAGGAGGGAAGGGCCACCTGCAGGAGGGCTGAGCAACCTTTCTGAGGGAGGAGGGAGGCTGGAGGGAGGCTCTGGCAGGAGGGGAGGCGGGAGCAGAGGGAAGGCAGGATCGTTCAGGCAGTGAGAGAGGGCAGCCCTGCTCTATTTCCCAGGCTGCTCTCTGGGATGCAGGCAGGAAGGTTGAGTGTATTACACTGGCCCCACCTCCTGAAGCTCTCTCTGCAGCTGCTGGACTGGACACAAAAGCGTGAGGGACAGAGACACCATCTCTGCTGATCAGTACCAAACTCTGGTTCCAGGTGCTGAGAGGCCACATGTGACAGAAGCCAGCGTGGGGGACTCACACAGCTGTCTGCATTTCCCAGGTAAGCAACTATTTGTGTCAGAGCCAAAGGTAGAGAGCAAGGCCTAAAGGCAGAGAAGGCGGGAGGTGACTGCCCTGGGATGGCCCTAGAACAATCTGTGGAGGGAATGCAGGAAGAGGGGCCGGGGCCAGATCTGGAACAAGCCCTCAGGCCAGGCTTCTGCAAGGTGTCACTGTATGAGGTAAGTAAGCTGGAGGCTGCATTTGGGCCAGTCCTGGCTGGCAAAGGTGGTGGAAGTTCCAGGAAAGGGCTGCGCTCTGACAGCCTCTGGGGTCAGCATATCTGGAGAGCAGAAGGGCCAGCCACACCGTGGCACCAGTGTTCCTTCCAGACCAGGAACATTTGTGTAGACTTGGCCAGAAAATCCCACCCTGAGCCCCTGCCTTCCTCTTGGTCTCGGTGGTCAAGAGAGGACCTCTGGCAGCTACAGAAGGAGGAAAGCAGGATTTATTCCCTAGGACTGTGGATTTGGACAGGGGAGGGATTTCCCATGTGAAAAGACAATCTGCTGTGAGCTAGCAGAGCACCGCATGCTGCCCTGAGGAGGCCCACCTGTGGCCCAGAGGACGGGGAATGAGACACGTTTGTAAAATAGGGTCCGTGTGCTGGAGGTGGGGTGGGGGTGCGCGACGTAGGTGGTCTGCAAGCAGTTCCATCTGAATACACCAGAAGGGTTGTTCCAGAGAAAGAAAGAAGCCTAAGAAGTCTGTTTCAATCACATCCAGCGTCCCTTTGCTGTACCCACTGGTGGACCAGTCCCTGATCGGGCATGCTGGCCTGAGTAAGTCACGCTAAGCTGGCCAGCGCTGTGTCCCCTCTGTTAACCAGACATACACACACGCACACAGCCACTCTTCTAAGAACCAGTGTGCTGAAAATACATCAAGCCTGGTTTCCTGTCAAAGGATATGCCAGCCACACTCTGACATGTTAAGGGGATAGAGAGAAAGAGGTCAGAGGGAGGGAGTGGCCCCTGGGCTTTTAGGCCGCAAAGGGACAAAAGATGCTGAACCTCAGACACCATGGCATTGTGTCCTCCATCTGTGGCTTCTGCTTCCAAGTACAGAGTGAGGATTCCTCCCTACTGCTCCCCTCCTACACACACACACACACACACACACACACACACACACACACACATTCACATTAAGTGGATTTATGATCAGGCCAGAGCTGGGAGAAGGACAGTTTGAGGAGGCGGGGCTAGGATATGACTTTATTATGTGAACCTTGGCCACCAAACTGCTGCGAGTGTCCATCTAGCTCCCTCCCCAAGGTCCTGCTGAGGGGCAGAGGAGCTCCCAGTATACGGGACAAGGCACTAGTCACTGAGTGCCAGCCGTGTGCCAGAGCTTCCCCCAGACTACACAGTAGGTGTATTATCTTCCATCTTCCCAATGAAGAAAACAAGGCTCTGAGACACTTGTTGATGCACAAGCATAGGATTTTGAGTGTCTGATACGCCTCAAACCTTGAATGAATGACTACCTCTTGCGAGGACGGGTGATGGAACACCTCCTGCCTTATGGGGAGTGCATCAGAGCCGCCAAGTGCAGACATTGCTCCCCTCATCCCGCCTGAGAAAGTGGAAGGTGGGCAGAGGAGGAAAGAAGGATTTTCCAAAAGTAAACACTCAGTGACTAATACTCTTGACCACCCCAGGCAAGTCTCCACAGCCTGTGTCCTGGCCTCTTTCTCTGTGGAGGGCAGTTTGGGTCAACGAGAGCAGGGAGGAGCCCCGTGGTGAGGCCCTGCAGCCAAGACTCCTTGGCCCAGAAAACACAAGGGGCTTTGATGCCTTGCAGCAGGCAGTGGCTCTCCCCCAGGATGCTGTGGCTGCTCTTGGGCAGGGCCCAGCCCCAGGGCAGGCCTCAGTCTGGAGGCCACATCTGGGAGGTAGTACCTACAGTCTAGGTCTAACACAGTGGCCTCAGATTTAAAGAGATGCCTCGGGGCTGCTGTCACTGAGCAGAGTGGCCTTGGGCTGGTAGGAAACCTCTAGACCCCACTATCAGGGTCTGTAAGATGGAGAGAATAATAAAAGAGTAACAACATCTCGTAAAGGTTGCTGGGAAGAATAAATGAAATCACGCTTGTGAGGTGCTCAGCATTTTCCTGTCTTGTGATCTCTGCCCAGAAAGTAAAACTACTAGCATTACCCACTCTGATATTCCCAGAAGGTTCCCTCCAGACAAAAGCAAACGCAGCCCTCTGGTCAGAAACTGCCCCTCACCCCCCGGCCTGCAGGAGCATGTCTCTCACTGCAGCCACTCCTGTAAGATGGATTGCTCACACACACAATCCCTATTAGCCAACCCTAGCAGGCTTTCTCCGTGTCTTCAAGCTAAAATAAAATCACTTACAAAATAAAACTCAATGGCTTCCTTGTCTCACGGCTTGCTGTCAAAACCCTAAGTCTATGCCTCTCAAATCAGGATACTTGCACCCCTGGGGGTAGGTAGGGTTTTCCAGAAATACACGAGGCTGTGGGATAAATATGGCACACATAAGGAAAAGTTAAATGTTTCAACTGAAGGTAAGTCCAAACACTATCTTTGTAAAAAAAAAAAAAGGGGGGGGGTGGGTACTTAGTGGAAAAGAAAAAAATACATGATAAATGTGTATATACATATATACATACATGTGTGTATGATTTAGCTAAATTAAAAATATGTAAATACAACATTGTAGGCACCCTATACTTCAATAATAAGAAATTTTTCTGTGAGAATACATAAGAACAAAAGATATATATTAGACAAACAAAAAACCCCACCTATGACATAGAATGTAAATTCTCATGAATACTTAAGATGAAACGACGTTTCAAAGATAGTTCAAGCTTCTAGAAGGACCCACCCACCCTCATCAGGATGCATATGTTCACCTTCCCGCCTTCATTGCAAAATCCCAAGAAGCCCTGTTTCAGCAGTATCTTCTTGGGAACATCCTGGTGTGTTCCCTGACCTGCCCCCATTCTCCCAGGGGCTGCTCCTTGTCTTTGGCAGACACGGCCACACAACGCAGAGCCTGGGAGGTGGCCCCAGCTGACACCACCCAGGGATGGCAGACTTGCACACCTGGCAGGGACGTCAAGACCCGGCCTGGTTTCCAGTGTCCCAGGTGGGCCAACAGTTTCCGAAGCCTGAGGACCAGACCTTGCTTCCTCTCCTCTCCTCTAGTCTTCCCCCATGCTCATAGAAAAACCACCTGGCCAGCAGTTGGGGTTTGAGCCCCTTGGACAGGGCAGGGCCCAACTGGCACTGGGCAAATGTCCCACCCTTGCCATCCCTGACAGCATTGTCTCCTGGAGCTTCTAGTAAGTGAACCTTTAAAGGGATTTAAGGATAACTGTGTGGGGTTTTTTCAGAAAGCCCCAGCTCCTCCTTCGCCAGTGGGGCGCAACAGTGGGGCTGGCACAGCTACCGGCTGGAAAGAGATCTGTGGTGAGAACCTCAGGCCGCGTGGCCATGAAGGAGATTAAGTACATTCTTTGTGATTTCCTCTTCATACCTTCCTTTTTGCAGGTACCCTGAGCCAAGCAAAGGTTGTGCCTAGGAGGAGCAGGAATAGAAGTGCCTGAACATCATGACACAGGTGGACCCCCAGGAAAGGTGGGGCAAGGTATCTGCTCTGTCCAACTTGACGGAGGAAGCTCATGACCCCCGGGTGCTGAGTGTGAGCTTAGAGAGAGAGGATGAAGATGGTGGGGAGGCAGGAGACAAAGGGAGCACAGAGGACCCTGATCACCAGGCCTGTCCAAGCAGCAGCTCCCAAGTGACTCAAGACAATCCTGACTTGCCATGGCATCATCCACCCAGCGAGTCAGAGAAATTCTCTAGCTCCTTCGGTGCGGGGGCCATGGGGAAGGAACCGATGGTGATGCCTGAGAAAGGCCAGCTGGGGAAGAGAAGAGTCCAACATCACGCAGACCCAGGACCCCCCTGGACCAGGCGCAGCTCCCGGGACCCTCCCCGGCGACCTCTCACGTAAGTTGTTAGGCCGGACGCAACCGCTTAGGGACTCGCTACCTGTAGGAGATGATGGAGACTCCAGGGCAAACCTGGACGCTGCCTTGGGGGTCGCGTCCAATTTCCCTGAGACGGGAAGATATTTCTGCGCACAGAGAGGCACAGGCACGTCCCCAGACGACTCCTCTCTGGTGTGTTTCCCCAAGCCGGGGGGCAGCTGGGACCTCCCCACGCAGGAGACTCGCGCACCCGCCCAGGGGTCGGCGCCCCCAGCGGGCCTGGCAGCAGCGGTGCGGGCCAAAGCGCGCATCGGCAGAAAGGGCCAGAACCCGGAGGGTGCGCGCCAGGGCGCGCAGGGGGAGGCGCACCCCTATAAGTGCCTGCGGGGAGGAAGAGCCTTCCGGAAGCCCAGCAGCCCGCTGAGTCCCTCGCAGCCGCGGGGCACCAAGCCTCACACCTGCGAGCTGTGCGGGAAGGCCTACTCCCACCGGGGCACGCTCCAGCAGCACCGGCGCCTGCACACGGGCGAGCGGCCCTACCAGTGCCCCTTCTGCGACAAGGCCTACACCTGGTCCTCGGACCACCGCAAGCACATCCGCACCCACACGGGCGAGAAACCCTACCCCTGCCCCGACTGCGGGAAGGCCTTCGTGCGCTCCTCCGACCTGCGCAAACACCAGCGCAACATGCACAGCAACGACAAGCCCTTCCCGTGTGCCGAGTGCGGTCTGACCTTCAACAAGCCGCTGTCGCTGTTGCGCCACCAGCGCACGCACCTGGGCGAGAAGCCCTTCCGCTGCCCGGCTTGCGACAGGGAGTTCGCCGTGGCCAGCCGGATGATGGAGCACCAGCGTGTGCACTCGGGCGAGCGGCCCTTCCCGTGCCCCACCTGCGGCAAGTGCTTCACCAAATCCTCCAACCTGATCGAGCACCAGACGCTGCACACCGGCCAGAGGCCCTTCAAGTGCGCCGACTGCGGCGTGGCCTTCGCGCAGCCCTCGCGCCTCGTGCGCCACCAGCGCATCCACACTGGCGAGAGGCCCTTTCCTTGCGCCCAGTGTGGCCAGGCCTTTGCCCGCTCGTCCACGCTGAAGCGGCACCAGCAGATCCACTCTGGGGAGAAGGGCTTCCTCTGTGCCGAGTGTGGCAGGGCCTTCCGCATTGCCTCGGAGCTGGCCCAGCACATTCGCGTGCACAACGGGGAGAGGCCTTACCAGTGTGAGGACTGCGGCCAGGCCTTCACCAGGTCCAATCACCTCCAGCGCCACCGAGCCAAGCACAGTACCTGCAAGAAGGAGCCCATCCCCTCCTCCTCTGATGAGTGAGGGCTCCAGCAGCTAACTCTCAGGGAAGGTGAAGACACTTGGCGACCTCATTGCCTGGAACCCTCCTGCATGGACAAGCCGATGCGCATGGTATCGTCCTCCCCCCACGGGTCAGCCTTTCCTCCCAGGGTGTCACAGGCCGTGGGGTGATCCGTTTGATTTATGTGTTTGATCTCTTGTGTAAAAAGTAACAGGAGGGCTGGCACCCACGTGTGTGGTTTCATTATCAGTCTTTCTTCTGAATCTCAGAGGTCATATTCAGTTGGAAAAGGGTAAGGAAAAGTAATGAGGACTGGTCAAGAGTTGAGTTCCTTGGTTGGGGGATCCCGGTGGATTGGGGATTATATCCTGGGCACTGTGCAAGCCAACAAGGATACTATGAAGAAAAAGATTGTCCTGTCCTGCCCTCAAAGCCATATGCAAATACTAAGAAGGCATCAAGGACCAGTCCCCTTGGGAAGAAGGGTACTTTTCAGCTTTTACATGAATAAAGGAATCCCCAGAAGTGGTCTCTGTGAGCAACTTTTCCAAAGCAGCAAAGCCTCCCTGGAGTTAGCCAGACCCAGCCAGACAGTACATCATTTCTTTTTTTATTATTATTATAAATTTATTTCTTATTGGTGTTCAATTTGCCAACATACAGAATAACACCCATTGCTCATCCCGTCAAGAGCCCACCTCAGTGACCGTCCCCCAGTCACCCCCACCCCCTCCACCTCCCCTTCCACCACCCCTAGTTCCTTTCCCAGAGTTAGGAGTCTTCATGCTTTGTCTCCCTTTCTGATATTTCCCATCATTTCACTTTCCTACCAAAATCACTTTACCCTTGGGAAATGAGTCTTGGCTTTGAAGTAGAGAAGGCCTTTATCGAAAAGAGAGGGGAGTTTATGTCCTAAGTTTTGGAACCAGTTATTCTTTAAGTCCAGAACAACCTCTGAAAAAGAAGTCCATTCCTCTTTAGAACCAAATTTAGTAAGCTGGATTTAATCTGAATCTCACCCACAAAATTTACATGTGCCTCCAGTCTGGCCACCCCTTTTCCTGTTCTGACATACGGGGACCTAAACCATATGTAATTTACAGAGAGTAATATGCCCGTTTACAGAGAGATATATAACATTTCTCCAAATGGGCTTGGCCATAATTCAAGAAACCTCTTAGATTTATTTAAATTTTCCAGATCATTAGCTCCAATTTGAAGTAAACAGAATAAAATACCTCTTGCCTAAGTGCCAATTGGTTTGTCTTTGTTTCAAAGTCTTAAAAACAGATTTGGAAACCCATTTGACTCAAAAATGCTCTCTAATGAGGTTATTTGAAATCTGTGTATTACCAACAGCTATTCTTCAAAGTGTATTGATTTTCTATAGTTTAAAGTCAGTAGTTCTTAGCTCTGGATGCCAACTGTGAAGAATCCATTCCATGACTTCACAGAGTTCCCTTGATGCACAGGGGCAAACAGCACTTCTAATCTTACCAAAGTTAAATAAGATAGTCCATAAGAACATATATAGTATAGTACTCTCCTTTTATGGATATCTTTAGTGGATTCCTAAAATTGCCACCAAAGGGTGCCAAATCTGAATTTCTCTTGAATTCCATCTTGACACATGGGGGCCAAAGAGAAGTAATATATGTTGTACTTTGACAAAGGTAACCTTAGTTAAAACAGTTCTGACTGTATGCCTGGAGGTTTTGGGTCTTAACTCCCTCAAGTTAAGACTTAAGTGGTTGGCACATCAGACCAACAGAATTATCTGGTTCAGGGTCCGGCATGAGGGCCAGTGGTTGCGTTATGAGTCCATCCCCATCATTTACCAGTGATATGACCTTGGCTTCAGATTCTGTACCTGTATAGGCTAATTAGGCATGATAATAATGGGGCAATAAAAGTTGGAGTTATCCTGCCAGGAAAGGAAATTTAACTGACAGCATAGGTATTACATTGGTAGAGAAGTCATAAAAATCAACCGTAGCCTAGTGATTATGAACAGAGTAAAGACTAGTATATGTTTCCTGGGTAACCAATGAAATCTTTGAAGACTAGAGTCATTATTTCTTTTCTTTGTATTTTTTTTAAAAGATGGTTGTTAATACAGTTTTAATAATTAAAACATTTAATTTGCTTCTATACATTTTTAAGGCAGTTTTCCCCCCAAAACCAGTTCATAGAAGGGCTGCGTAGATGTTACCTGAGCTGTTTGTTAACCATATAACTTGCTGAATCCTAGCTTTGAATATTGAAACAGGTCTTCAGTGCATCTTGGATTCTAATTTTTTAAGCTTCCCATGTGTTCTGATGCACAGCCAAGATGGGACCCACTGGTATAATTAATTATTAGTGATAATTAAATTTTATCATCTAATAAGCAGATAAAATGAAAATAGGCGGGCAATCAGGATGAGGTCATAATAGAATGAGAGTAAAAATAGGCTCAAACTGCTGGAATACCTCCTGACTTGGATATGGTGGACTCAAACTAGCAAGCAGATTTTGATGTCGTCTCATAGTCTCATTTCTGCAGTTGAGACATAGTACTTAGGTACAGCTTCCAGATGGGCACACCTTTGGGGAGACAATGGGTGTCCTTTTTCTTAATAGGCAGAAAAAATTAGATTAGCTCCTGCTGGGTATCTTTGGAGCAACATACTGTGTTTCTGGAATATAAGGGAATATAATAGACTGAATAGACTGAAAGGAAGTTCATTAATCCTTCAGTGGCATCACATAACCAAGTCACATTTTAAGGAAAATTCTCACAACCAGTCTTTTCTCACACCAGCTGCAAGGGTCATGTTGAATAGGTATTGCAGGGGAATGCAGTCCCCTTATTATAGCCACAGGTTACTGGGCTTCTGGACAGTGGTGCTCAAGTGGAAGGCCACAGTACATGGAGTGGAGGAACAGATACAAAAGAGAAGCCAAACAGCTACAAAGTCGAATGGCACAAATTCTGCCCGGTAATGTCTTCCCATCCAAAGTGGAAGCAGTAAGTCCTTTGTTTTCAGAAGAATCAGTGTTTGAGTAATGTTATTCTGGCTCAAATGGTTACCACAGATAATAGTGAGGTACTTTTCTAGTTTTCTACAAACCTTCACATCACAGCAGGTAATCTTATTTCCCTGTTCTGTAATTAAAAATCAGAGCAGGACCTCCTTTGTGATAGAATTTAAAGCTTCTCTCTAGACTAGTGCTATTTCCTCTGTTTAGTTTGACAAAATTAATTTGGATATACCAAATAAAAATGATCATTTATAAGATTCCACTTAATAAACATTCCCTTGATATATTCACCAGAGTCCACAATCATCATGATTCACATCCTTTGGATGATAGTGATAATAGTTAGCACTTACACAGTATTTAGTGTCCCAGGGACTGTTTTAAGTGTTTCGTATATATTAACTACTTAAACATTAAGGTAAAACCTATGGTGATTATTGTCCTTATTTTTAAGATGAGGAGATCAAGAGACAAAGAAGTTATATTGCCCAAGATATCATAGCTAGGGTGTAGCATAATGACAATTTGATAGTTAGGCATCAAGTGGAGCCATTTAAGGGCTCCAGAGACTGTGCTGTTAACCACAGGGCCAACTGCCTCTGTTTGGCATAGAACACTCTGCAGTTATTGGTGGCATGCATTTTAAAGTAGGTGACCATAAATTCAAGAGAAGAAAAAGGTTGAAACACAGCACAGCAGTGTTCATGGCATAACCCAGGAAGAAAGACCTATGGATTACTTAAAAATGGATTTGGGAGAGCCTGGGTTGGCAGCTAGTAATCATTAATCCTTAGAGAAGCTGTCAACAACCCAGCCAGGAGAAAGGGATTTGAGTTAAAGGAGCCATTGTTCCTTGAAGGCCCACCAATGTCTTATTCACTGACTAACGAAACATTCAGTGTCTATGCCATACACAGAAAAATACACCAGCAATGAGTCTTGACACTCAACATTGACACAAAATTTTATCATCCAAATGCATGCCCATTAAACAACTATATTACCTCTGATATGAACCCAACAGATCACCCAGGAGTTCCAAGTAGGCCTTAACAACTCTTACAGGTAAGGAAATCATCTATTTAATTGATAGAATACTCAAGCAGATGTCATTGCTAGACTCAGAACTAGATTTGGATTACAAACTCAATGACCTGTGAAAATATTGCCAATGATAGAATGACAATGTTTCAGCAAGCTAGAAAATGGTGTCTTTTTAAAGTTGAGAAGGAAGCTCATTTTTAACATCAGTTGCCCTCTCTCCATTCTGCATAAAACCATGCCGGAACAATTAAAAATTTTCCACAATGACTGGGTAATATTTTTCCATGTTTTCTCCTTAACCATTTCCCACACCCTCGGTCAAATTGGCTCAGAGTTTCACTGTTTCAGGAGTGTCAGGCACTCAGTAGATTGGTTCAATGAATAAATGGAACTTCTATAAAAACCTAAGCTATGCTTAAGATTTAAAGTAAAATACCCCGATGTTTCTAGCAGCCATGTCCACAATAGCCAAACTGTGGAAGGAGCCTCGATGCCCATCGAAAGATGAATGGATAAAGAAGATGTGGTTTATGTATACAATGGAATATTACTCAGCCATTAGAAACAACAAATACCCACCATTTGCTTCAACGTGGATGGAACTGGAGGGTATTATGCTGAGTGAAGTAAGTCAATCGGAGAAGGACAAACAGTGTATGTTCTCACTTATTTGGGGAATATGAATAATAGTGAAGGGGAATATAAGGGAAGGGAGAATAAATGTGTGGGAGATATCAGAAAGGGACACAGAACATAAAGACTTCTAACTCTGGGAAATGAACTAGGGGTGGTGGAAGGGGAGGAGGGCGGGGGGTGGGGGTGAATGGGTGACGGGCACGGAGGGGGACACTTGACGGGATGAGCACTGGGTGTTATTCTGTATGTTGGTAAATTGAACACCAATAAAAATTAATTTATAAAAAAAAAAAAAAGATTTAAAGTAAAATAGACC